TAAAAGGTGGACCACTTTTGAAAAAGCCACAAGAAATCAAATTGATAAGGATGGACATAACGACGGCCATTGAAGCTACAAACGATTTCACGGTGGACAACTCACCATTTAAAAATTCCATGAGAACATTTCAAAGTATTTCTTTTCTGATTCACTCATTTGCTCCATCTAAAGAAAGCGGTGATTATCAAAAGACCCCCGTTCTTCCACGCGGTCTAGACGAGTGTGGTCTGAAAGAAAAAAGAACGTACTTGGTGGCAGGCGGGATCAGAGGATACGGATTTCAAGTGGCACGTTGGATGGCCGAGAATGGAGCAAAGTCTATTGGACTGATTGGTCGTTCCAAGCCCTCAGATGCCGAGTATCAACAAGTACGAGGTACTGAGACCAAGACAAGCGCAAAGTTTCATATTTTCCAGGTTCGTTGTAGCATGTTTGTTATAGTAAATTTTCTCTTGGTGCAACATTTTTATGATTGCATTCCCCTGATAATAAATTCTATATAGGTTCACGTTGTGTTATGTCCAGAAAGTAAAGCACATCGTATCCCATGTATTTCAAAGTTTCTTTTTTGTTGCTCTAGATTGACCTATCCAGCCAAGAGCAAATGCAGTCACTAAAAGAGAAGCTTGACTCTCTTCCAAGTGTGGCTGGAATAGTACATACTGCCATGGTTCTCAGAGATGAATTTATCAAAGATTGGTCATTTAGAAGTTTCACAGATGTCATGGATCCTAAGATTAAAGGTGCATGTCATGCCTGCTATAATACTTTATTATCCTTGAACCATTTCTTTCGACCCAAGAATACATTGATTAACACCTTACAACAGGTCTGACACCTCAAGTAATACTACTTCACCTTCTTTCCTGTGTTTGTTTTCTATTTAACCTTTAGTAAATATATAAAAAAAACGTAATTAAAGGGCAAGTGCACTTAACCCTCACAATGAAACTCTTTTAACATAAGTGAATCGATCTAGATGAGAATCCGAAATTAGCGTGTCTTTAGAAATGCTAAGACACTTAAACTTTATCACTTTCGAGTTTGTAAAGTTACTTAAATTCATTTATTTGAATTGTTGCTGTGTAGAAATATCATCACAGTAACGATGTTCATATCATAGCTAAACTATGAATTAAATCAAGATCATCAGTGTGATACATTTTGTTTAGGTTCCTATTTGCTACACCAAATGAGCTTGAAGATGGATCTTGATT